CAAACAGGAGACAAAGCCTCAACTCAAAGCAACAAATATCCACTGTGGATCAGTGACAGGCTGTTAAAGCAAGGGGCACCCTCTCTAGTCCTCTGCTGCCTTCAGAATGTAGTAGAAATTAAAAGATCCAACATTCACTCACTCATTTGGATTTGTTCATTTGTTAGTTTGTTTGTTCATTCATTCCTCCAATGAACCTTTGTTATGTCCCTACTACTGTCTGTGCCAAGCCCCGTCTTAAAGACAAAACCAGCCATTTGTGTCACAGAATTCCAAATTCATGAGAGTTGAAAGGGAGCTCAACGGTCAGTTCATCCAACTCATACAAGAAAGGACTTCCCACTGCGACATCCGTAAGAAGTGTGGTACTGGCCTCTGTGCTCAGAACCCACTCTATCAATGACCCTAGATAGCAGACCAAGCTTTACCCTTGTATACTATCCAGATGTTCACTTAGTCCACTTCACCATCTGTCCATCTTCCCCTACACAACCTATCCTTGACTTTCTTCCTCATATTCTGATTATAGTAACTTAATCAGCAGTACCATGATTTCTATAAATAGGTGGGTCATGTACATCAACTTCCTGTCCTGGGACTCTTCAGACCCCAATTCCTTTCTGAGGCCACCACTTCCCAAAATATGTTGCATTCCCCTACTAAAATGTAAACCCCTTGAAGCCAGAGACTATTTATCTTTTTATGTTTGTATCTTCAGTGCTTAACACAGTTACTCATAATAAACACTTAAGAAATGTTTTTTTAATTAATTTATTCATTCATCTCCATTTTATAAATGAGGAAATTGAGGCTGATAGAATTCAAGTGACTTGCCCATATGACACAGTTAGTGAATAACAGAGGCAGCTATTTGAACCCAGGTTTCTCCAAATCTAGGGTTCTCTTGGCTACATAATTCTGCCTATGAAGAAAGGACATTGAATTTGGACTTAGCAGGTGTGGAAAGCAATCCCAACAGTACCTCTTAGTATCCTTGCGGCTCACTACTTTCATTTGTCAAATGGGTTTGGGGTTGGGTCGTCCCTTTATTCCAGCATAAAGATTCTATGATATTATCTCACCCACGAAACCATCCTTGAAGATCTCTCCTGTAAGGACATCAAAGAGAGAAAGGTCCCAT